TTAAATATCTCACATAATAATCCCAAGACTCAATAACACAACAAATCACAAATTCAAGAACAAGCAGCCTATCGGCTGAGATAGCTCCGCTATTAGCAATGCACATTTCAATTAAAGAACTGAAGACATCATTAGAAAATGAACAATATGTATAGTATTAAAGCAATCGGGCTTACAGTTTTTAACAAGAAGTCGAAAATATCACTTTTTACCAAAAATTACAAAAATATTCACCACAATTAGAGAATTGAAGATATCAACATGAAATGAACAAACCTAAGAGAGGTCTACCCAAGGTACATATACACCAAGTATCAAAGCATTCAGGCTTGTAGTTTTCAAGAAGAAGTTGAAAAAGTAAAACATTGACACGGACGACGGCGGACGACGACTGACAATCACTCATATGATAAGCTCCGCTCGACAAAGTCGACAGCGGAGCTAAAAATCAAAAACTACTTACAAAAGCTTTGTCCCTTCCTCCAAAGCTCTGCACTCTTCTGAGAGCCCCATGCTGTTTCAATTTACGAATAAAATTTAATTCAAGTGCCTGTCTCTCAATATGTGAATTTAATAAAGCTATGTTAGCTTCTTTATCCAGTAAATTCCACTCCACATTAGAGATAAACTGGTCTTTCTTCAACAAAGCTGACTGTACATTCTGTAACTAAAAAGTCAATAAGAGTTACGATTATGAAATTTAGAAAAAAAATAGAACTGATTTTACCATGGAACATGATCAAATAAACAAGCAGCCTCTCGCCTGAGACAGCTCCGCTGTTAGCAATGCACATTTCAATTAAGAACAGAAGACATCATTAGAAAATGAACAATATGTATAGTATCAAAGCAATCGGTCTAGCTGTTTTTAACAAGAAGTCGAAAATATCACTTTCTACCAAAAATGACTAAAATATTCACCAAAATTAGAGAATTGAAGATATCATCACGAAATGAACAAATCTGAGAAAGGTCTACATGTAGTATCTATATATGTAATATCAAAGCAATTGAACTTTTGGTTTTTAACAAGAAGTCGAAAATATCACTTTTTACCAAATATGACAAAAATATTCACCAAAATTATAGAATCCAAGATATCACCACGAAATGAACAAATCTGAGAAAGGTCTACATGTAGTATCTAAATATGTAATATCAAAGCAATTGAACTATTGGTTTTTAACAAGAAGTCGAAAATATCACTTTTTACCAAAAATTACAAAAATATTCATGAAAATTAGAGAATTGAAGACATCATCACAAAATGAACAAATCTGAGAGAGGTCAACATGTAGTACCTATATATGTAATATCAAAGCAATTAGACTTGGGGTTTTTAACAAGAAGTTGAAAATATCACTTTTTACCAAAAATGACAAAAATATTCACCAAAATTAGAGAATTAAAGATATCATTACAAAATGAACAAATCTGTGAGAAGTCCACATGTAGTACCTATATATGTAATATCAAAGCAATCGGACTTGTGGTTTTTAACAAGAAGTCGAAAATATCACTTTTTACCAAAAATGACAATAATATTCACCAAAATTAGAGAATTGAATATATCATTACAAAATGAACAAATCTGATAGAAGTCCACATTTAGTACCTATATATGTAATGTCAAAGCAATTGGACTTGTGGTTTTTAACAAGAAGTCGAAAATATCACTTTTTACCAAAAATGACAAAAATATTCACCAAAATTAGAGAATTGAAGATATCATCATGAAATGAACAAATCTGAGAGAGGTCTACCCAAGGTACATATACACCAAGTATCAAAGCATTCAGACTTGTAGTTTTCAAGAAGAAGTTGAAAAAGTAAAACATTGACACGGACGACGACGACGACGGATAATCACTCATATGATTAGCTCCGCTCGACAAAGTCGACAGTGGAGCTAAAAAGTGTATATATGATATACATCTTTGAAGGGTAATGGTCGTCACGCAAAACAATGTATTTCAGGTACATTTATACGATGCTACGAGTCCCATATTAAAAGACACAACGTGAAGACGACTGTCCTTTAAACCCAAGCTGCATTATTTTGTTGTGGTCTACCAGACACTAATTGTGAATCCCAAAGAAGTTTGCGACTTCAACATAGCCTTTGAGAAATTATTTCAACATCGCAACACGTATAAATACACCTGTTGCTAAATTAGTCTTCTTTACTTATTTACTTTACTCAGATTCATTTTTTTTTTAATGAATAATCACATTACGCAATGTTTTGTGACATCCTTGTGGGTAGAATATTCATCTGAATCCGAATAGTTTTCTCATGATTTGTTACCGGTAATTTAATGCCACTGGTAAGGAATACATCTCAAGCAAGTCAGATGACATAGCCCCTGTCTTAGGAACCTCAGCAAAATTTTCACTGCAGCAAAATTGAACAACTTTACTACAGACACAAAATTCTCAAAGGATTAAGGTGACAGTCTTGGTATTTTAGAAGCATTGGAATATAAAAGTGACAGAATTTATTATTATCATTTTCAATCCAAATTTTTGCATCAATATACATTATCATACCTTTTGTTGCAGTTGTGATATAATATCCTGTGTGTTCGGCAGTGAAGTAGCACTTTCTTTGGTTGGTATATCTAAGGATAAAACAGAGCCAGCAGTAAAATAATCACCATATGTGACACATCACTTAAAATAAATCGGAAGGTGAGATCTTTCGACTGTTTACAAATTTTGTACATTATGAACAAAATTTAATTACTGGTACATTCAATAATACATAACTGATGTTTTGAAGAAAAAACAAGCAGCCGGTCGGCTGAGATAGCTCTGCTGTTAGCAATGCACATTTCAATTAAAGAACAGAAGATATCATTAGAAAATGAACAATATGTATAGTATCAAAGCAATGGGACTTGCTATTTTCAACAAGAAGTCAAAAATATATCACTTTTCACCAACAATGACAAAAATAATAATCAAATTTAGATAATTAAAAATATCACCACGAAATTAACAAATCTGAAAGAGGTCCACATGCAGTACCTATATATGTAATATCAAAACAATTGGACTTGCGGTTTTTAACAAGAAGTCGAAAATATCACTTTTTACCAAAAATTACAAAAATATTCACCAAAATTAGAGAATTAAAGATAGCATTACAAATTGAACAAACCAGAGAGAGGTCCACATGTAGTACCTATATATGTAATATTAAAGCAATTGGACTTGCGTTTATTAACAAGAAGTCGAAAATATCACTTTTTACCGAAAATGACAAAAATATTCACCAAAATCAAAAAATTGAAGATATCAACTTGAAATGAACAAACCTAAGAGAGGTCTACTCAAGGTACATATACACCAAGTATCAAAGCATTCAGGCTTGTAGTTTTCAAGAAGAAGTCAAAACAAGCAGCCTATCGGCTGAGATAGCTCCGCTGTTAGCAATGCACATTTAAATTAAAGAACTGAAGACATCATTAGAAAATGAACAATATGAATAGTATCAAAGCAATCGGACTTACAGTTTTTAACAAGAAGTCGAAAATATCACTTTTTTACCAAAAATTACAAAAATATTCACCAAAATAAATTAATTAGAGAATTGAAGATATCATCACAAAAAGAACAAATCTGAGAGAGGTCCACATGTAGTACCTACATGTATATATGTAATATCAAAGCAATCGGACTTACAGTTTTCAACAAGAAGTCGAAAATATCACTTTTTACCAAAAATAACAAAAATATTCACCAAAATTAGAGAATTGAAGATATCATCACAAAATGAACAAATCTGAGAGAGGTCCACATGTAGTACCTATATATGTAATATCAAAGCAATCGGACTTGCGGTTTTTAACAAGAAGTCAAAAATATCACTTTTTACCAAAAATGACAAAAATATTCACCAAAATTAGAGAATTGAAGATATCATCACGAAATAAACAAATCTGAGAGAGGTCCACATGTAGTACCTATATATGTAATATCAAAGCATTTGCACTTGCGGTTTTTAACAAGAAGTCGAAAATATCAGTTTTTACCAAAAATGACAAAAATATTCACCAAAATTAGAGAATTAAAGATATCAACATGAAATGAACAAACCTAAGAGAGGTCTACCCAAGGTACATATATACCAAGTATCAAAGCATTCAGGCTTGTAGTTTTCAAGAAGAAGTCGAAAAAGTAAAACATTGACACGGACGACGACGGACAATCACTCATATGATAAGCTCCGCTCGACAAAGTCAACAGCGGAGCTAAAAAATTTGCATTAAAATTCTCACTTTTCAGGCATAAATTGCATGAAATCTGCATCAAAATACTCAATCCATATTAAGTATTGTTCTTATTCCTACCTTGCTGTGACCCCGATGACGCAAGATTCAAATTTGACTGTCGTAAATTTAAGATTTCAGATTGTAGTCTTGACACCAGTACATCATATTTAAGATGCTTGTCAATCATAGTTTTCTAGAACATAAAGCGACAAAAAGCACTGAATTATTAAAGCGTCAGTCATCATGAAGCACACATTTAAATTTGCATACTAAGTTTTTATGAGAGTTAGTTCAAAATAAACACAGTTAAACCGATATATGTATATATAAAACAATAACATAAATTTATAAAGGAATAATTTCTTCTTGGAAACTGGCAGTTCAATTTGATACTAGCAATTGAGGTAGTAGTTTTCAATAAGTCATCGAAAATAGTATTTTTTACCAAAATTTTTTTCCAAAAATAGAGAATTGAAGATATCATCACAAAATGAACAAATCTGACAGGTCCACCCAAGGTACATGTACCTACATACCTAGTATCAAAGCAATTGTAATAAAGAACAAACTCAGCAATATCGGTAAACGGTTTCATCTCTATTAGAATCCCGTTCACAGAAATACAGACTGCACAGCTCCAGAAAACACAAGGAGCATGTGACTCTAAGTACTGCACATGCGCAGTTCACTACATGAAAGGTCAACCGGATGTTTACCCCAATGCATTCTGGGAGTTAATCGTACATCACTGACAAGATCAAAATCATAGAATTTAGTAAATGTCCAAAATCCCCTCTTGAAGTACCTTCAATAACACCAGCGGAGAAGCACCTCTCTTAGTAAGGCAGTCTGCAAGTTGATTTTTACTTTTAGACCATATAAACTCTTTAATCTGATTGCTTTCAATCAGTTCCCTAATACCACTAACCTCTATACGTAGTCGTTTTTCACTGACTAGTTTAGTGGATTTAACAGCTTCATACAAAGACTTACAATCAGTTACACAAACAAGTGGCAACTTGGTATATCTACTATCACTACCTGTCAGTTCTAAATACAAAGTTGAAATAAACATTGCAGAATTGATGCCACCGGCCATGGCAAGTGTTTCCCCAGCTAAAGTGCTACGCACTACCCGGCGAATCTTCTTTGAATTCCAACAAATCGGTGAGAATTTTCCAGTTTCCCCCATGAGAAAAATCAAATATCCTCCTTGACTACCGCCATCAGGAAGATTACCCAGTGAGGCATCACTGAAGACTACTAAGGACAATTCACCATCACCCAAATGCTGAAACTTAAGGGGTACACTATCAGATTTAAGTTTTCTAATTACCTTGTTAGCACATAACAAATCTCTAACCTGACCATTTTTTATGCTGGTGGCCAAGTTACATGCATCGAACAGTACATCTGGGCGACTTTGACGTGCTATCCACAGTATCTGTCCTACTTTAGATCTCAGTAAGTCCTTCTCATTTTCAGTCAGTGGTGATTCTGTTTCTAACGCTCTGGCTCTGGCTATCGGAATAGGAATCAGGTTGTTGGCATAATCACTTTGTTCAAGATAAATCTGGCCCTTTTCACTCACCAACCCAATCCCGACATATTTAAAAGCATTACTATCTTCCTTTCCAATACAGAAACGTAAACGAATTTGACTAATCACTGA